AAAAAAAAAAAATACATAACCAAAAAGTGTTTAGAACTGGGCAGTGGTGGCTAATGCCTGTAATCCTAGTTACTCAGGAGCCGAGATCTGACAATAATGGTTTGAAATTAGCTCAGGCAATAAAGTCTGTGAGACTCTAATCTATAATTAACTACTAAAAAAGAAGAAAGTTCAAGACAGTGCCCAGGCACTGAGTTCAAGCCTCAAGACGGATGATGGGGGAGTAGGTGGGGAGGGGAATAACACACACACACACACACACACACACACACACGTACGTATTTTAGGGCGATGACTGTGGCTCATGACTGTAATTCTAGCTACTCAGGAAGCTGAGAGTTTAGGATTATGGTTCAAAGCCAACCCAAACAGGAAAGTCCATGAGACTCTTATCTCCATAACCAGCAAAAAGATGGAAACGGCTCAAGTAGTAGAGTACCAGCTTTGAACAAAAAAGTTAAACAACAGTATAAGGTCCTTAGTTCAAGCCTAATTAGTGCTAGCACAGGCACAAAAAGTGAGGCCAGCTCCCTGGTAGAGAACATGCTTAGCATACATGAAGTTCTGGGTTAGCACCACATACACACACACAAAAGTTTGGAAACCACTACTATCAGGTGCAAAGCATAGTCTATAAACTCAGATATACATGTAGACAGGATTTTCTGCGATAATGATAACTTCACTATCATCTACATTTAAAGGAAGACTACTCTAGAACTGGAAAATAAGCCCACCCAGGAGTCTGGCATAATAAAGGTAGGAAATGAAATTTATGTGGATCCCAGGGGCTCACCCTGTCCCATACCTGTCTTGGGTAGTGTCACCTCTTCTACATTGGGAACTGGAGAGGGCTCATCCATGTCCTTTGTCAGGTCTTCTTGTTCCTCTTCTCTGTGGCCACGCTTTGACTTGGTATAAGGTGTTGAAGGACTGGTGAGAAAACAAAGTAAAAGAAAACCCTGTCAGAGCTGGGAAGGTGGCTCAGTGGTAGAGCGCTTGCCTTGCATGCATGAGGCACTCAATTTGATTCCTCAGCACCACATAAGCAGAAAAAGCCAGAAGTGGTGCTATGTCTCAAGTGGTAAAGAGCTATCCTTGAGCTGAAGAGCTGAGGGACAGCGCCCAGGCCCAGAGTTCAGGCCCCACAACCGGACCCAAAAAGAAAAAGAGTCTCATATGGGGATGTTTCTACCCAGGCTGGCTTGAAACTGTGAGCTACCTGGCACCAGCTATCCCTGAACTCCTTTTGCTCAAGGCTAATGTTCTACTTGAGCTATAGCTCCACTTCTGGCTTTCTGGTAGTTTATTGGACATAAGAGTCTCATGGGACCCAACCCTCATGGTGGCTCGTACCTGTAATCCTAGCTACTCGGGAGGCTGAGATCTGAGGATCGAGGTTCAAAGCCAGCCTGAGCAGGAAAGTCCATGAGACTCTCATCTCCAAATAAACCACCAGAGGCACTGTGGCTCAAGTGATAGAGCCTTGGGCTGAAGAGCTGTGGGACAGCACCTAGCCCAGAGTTCAAGCTCCACAACCGACAAAAAAAAAGTCTCATGGACTTTCCTGCCAGGGCTGGCTTTGAACTGTGATCCTCGGATCTCAGCCTCCTGAGAAGCTAAGATTATAGACATGGACTACGGGTACCTGGCGTCATTTACATTTTAGTCCAAGCCACTGGCTATGCTAGGGCTAGGTATATTTTAGATAACAGTCATGGGATCAAAAGCTTTACTCTTAAGATAATTAAGGCTGTACTTTCTTTTCTTCTTCTAGGTCCCAAGACCAGGACCTGAATTTGGTACTTGCAGCTCCTTTTGCTCATTGGTTAGAGCTCTACCAACTGAGCCATGCCTCCAACCCTAAAGCTGTACTCTTAAAATCATTTGAAGCCTTAGAGCAAATAATTGTGTTACACAGAAGAGCGTGTTGTTTTGGGTTGTTTTTTTTTTTTGTTGGTCGTGGGGTTTGAACTCTGGGCCTGGGCGCTGTCCCTCAGCTCTTAGCTCAAGGCTAGCACTCTATAACTTGAGCCACAGCGCCACTTCTGATTTTCTGGTGGTTTATTTAAGATAAGAGTCTCATGGACTTTCTGTGCAGGCTGGCTTTGAACTTCAATCCTCAGATCTCATCCTCCTAAGTAGCTAGGATTACAGGGGTGAGCCACAAATGCCCGGCTAAGAACATGTTTAACATCATCTTTGGACAAACCTAAAGAACATGCATCTAAGTTCTGGGCTGAAGCTGCCTAAAGGTAGCCATTGTGGCACTGTCAGCTAAGTAACTGGATTAATGAAGCCAAAGATACATTTGCTAAACTTTGTTGCTAGATCAACAAAGGAAAATAGGAAAAGGAGGGAGGGAGAAAATCATGAGTAAAAATCTTCTTACATCTCTGGAGTCTTGGACTTGTTCTTGCCATTAAAGAATTCAGGTAGAGCCCTCCGTTCAATGGCATGAACGCTGTAACAGAAACCAAAATGGGTTTAAGAGAAGGTGTTGGAAGAAAAGTTTAAAAGATGGGGTAGACAAACAGCTCAAACTGTAGGAAGGAATTGGAAACTTGTGGAAAACTTTCCATTAAGGCTGCAGGACTCAAAGAGACCAGGAGCTCTTCTAAAAAGGAAATGTGCTTTGGTCTATCTTGTTAAAGAAGAAATAACTTATTTGGAGGAGGCAGGAGAAACAACCCACTGACCCCTACAAATGGTGAAGTAAGGGATTGAATGAAAAGTTGGAATAATACCTGTTGTAGTCAAACCAGGCAGCGTAGCTGGGAATGATGATGTGGTGGGTCTGCTCAGTCACATTGTCCTCATGCAAGTCTGGATTCTTGGTCTGTTCCCCCTTGTTCCCCGTACTGCTTTCATCCTCATCCTATGAGTATGGAGGCTGCTGGACACTCAGCATTCCCATTTCCCCTCTAGCAACCCCTTTCTTTTCCTATACCCCAGGAATGTGGACAATAATGATAGGTGATAGGGAAGAGCACTGTGGGTGTAGGATTCTGAAGGGATCAGAGTTTGGAGCAACAACTAGAATTAGTCTATGATAGGAAAGTCTGGGCAGAAGAAACTTTACAAACATAAGTCAGAATCACAGAAAGAGATAGGGACTCTCTAAACTGGCTCCACCTTGCCCGTGGTCTCCATGCTTTCATCCTCCTGTTCATCTGAAAGATAAAGACAAGACATGATACTGGAACCTCCTAGGACACAGAAGAGCCCTACTAGAAAGTGTCAGTCTAGGGGAAAATGCAAGCTGAGCCCTCCCAAAGCCTCTGGGGCTGCCCGCCTTGCCTGAGGCTCCCTGACTTACCCAGGTCAGTCATGGTGCCTCCTTTGACTGGAGCTGACTCTGAATCCTTCTTAGTGTTGACTGCCAGAATAAAAAGCCATTTTATCAGACATGTTCTGTCAACAGCATTCACCTTTCTGCTGTTAGCAGTTCTATAGATATCCTTTCTCTAAACAATTTTCTCTATCTGACCACAAAATATATTTAAATCCGACTAGACACAATCATTTTAGGGCTTGAACTTTACCTGCAACTTTACCTGCTTCCCAACAAAAGATTCACTTAACTTCTTTTTCTATGTCTACTCCTAAGTCATTGTCTTTGATAGATCTTTATCCCCATCTATGTGTCTACAAAATCCTAATGGACTGAGTATGAGTCTTAAACAACTTATTCTGTAGGAAGTAGTTAGACAAAAAAAAATTTATTTTACTTTTTTTCTTCAATGTCAGGGACTGAATGCAGGACCTTACACATGTGATGCAAGACTCTACCACTAAGCAACATCACAAACTAGATCTTAAGCATTTTTGAAATCAGAAGACACTTTCTTCAACTGCATCAAACACAAAAGATCAGGTTAAAAAAAAAAAAAACAAAAACAGATAAAGGAGGGACAACCCCTTGAACCTCATCCCTTAAACATTCCGGGAGTATTGGGCACAGATTGCCAACAGGTATAGTACAGCAACAGCCTCCAAACAGGGTTTTGTTGGTTTATTTATTTTGTCAGTTGTGGGGCTTGAAATCAGGGCCTGGGCACTGTCTCTGAACTCTTTTACTCAAGGCTACTGCTCTATTACTTTGAGCGACAACCCTGTTTCTGTTTTTTTTTGGCGGATGTGGGGCCTGAACTCTGGGCCTGAGTGCTGTCCCTCAGCTCTTCAGCTCAACCCTAGCACTCTACCACTTGAGCCATAGCACCACTTCCGGTTTTTTCTGCTTTATGTGGTGCTGAGGAATCAAACCCAGGGCCTTATGCATGTAAGGCAAGCACTCTAACACTGAGCCACCTTCCCAGCCCTTGCTTCTGGTTTTTGAGTGGTGAATTGGAGATAAGAGTCTAAAGGACTTTCTTGCCCAAGCTGGCTTTGAACTTTGATCCTTAGATCTCAGCCTCCTTCGTAGGATTACAGCAGTGAGCCATCAGTGCCTGGCCAAATGGAAGACAAAAAGATAAACTCACCTGGGTACCTGTGGCTCACACCTGTAATCCTAACTACTCAGAAGGCTGAGATCTGAGGATCACAGTTCAAAGCCAGCTGGGGCAGGAACGTCAGTGAGACTCTTATCTCCAATTAACCACCAGCAAACCAGAAGTGGCACTGTGGCTCAAGAGGCAGAGTGCTAGCCTTGAGCTGAAGAGCTGAGGGACAGTGCTCAGGCCCAGACTTCAAACCCCACAGCTAACCACACACACAAAAAGATAAACTTTTGGAATATAAGAAGAAACTATGAGAAGTTCTCTTCATATTATCCTTTATATTTACCAGTTTTTAGATAGTTTTCATGTGCTTTATAATCATCCTAAAGTAGTGATTTAGCATAGTACATGTATACAAGTTGGGTTCTTTCTTTTTTTTTTCTTTGGCCAGTCCTGGGGCTTGAACTCAGGGCCTGGGCACTGTCCTTGGACTTCTTTTTTGCTCAAGGCTAGCACTCTAGCACTGGAGTCACAGCTCTACTTCCAGCTTCTTCTATTTATGTGGTTTATGTGGTACTGAGGAATCAAACCCAGGGCTTCATGAATGCCAGACAAGCACTCTACCACTTAATCCACATTCTCAGCCCTCAAATATATTTTATAGTCAAAAATATATAACCAAAGCCAGGAGATGGTGGCTCATGCCTGTAATCCTAGCTACTCAAGAGGCTGAGATCTGAGGATCGCAGTTCAAAGCCAGCCCGGGCAAGAAAGACTGTGAGACTCCTATTTCTAATAAACCACTAGAAAGCCGGAAGCAGTGCTGTGGCTCAAGTGGTAGAGTGCTAGCCTTGAGCTGAAGAGCGCAGGGACAGTGCCCAGGCCTAGAGTTCAAGCCCCACGACCAACCAAAAAAAAAAAAAAATACATAACCAAAAAGTGTTTAGAACTGGGCAGTGGTGGCTAATGCCTGTAATCCTAGTTACTCAGGAGCCGAGATCTGACAATAATGGTTTGAAATTAGCTCAGGCAATAAAGTCTGTGAGACTCTAATCTATAATTAACTACTAAAAAAGAAGAAAGTTCAAGACAGTGCCCAGGCACTGAGTTCAAGCCTCAAGACGGATGATGGGGGAGTAGGTGGGGAGGGGAATAACACACACACACACACACACACACACACACACGTACGTATTTTAGGGCGATGACTGTGGCTCATGACTGTAATTCTAGCTACTCAGGAAGCTGAGAGTTTAGGATTATGGTTCAAAGCCAACCCAAACAGGAAAGTCCATGAGACTCTTATCTCCATAACCAGCAAAAAGATGGAAACGGCTCAAGTAGTAGAGTACCAGCTTTGAACAAAAAAGTTAAACAACAGTATAAGGTCCTTAGTTCAAGCCTAATTAGTGCTAGCACAGGCACAAAAAGTGAGGCCAGCTCCCTGGTAGAGAACATGCTTAGCATACATGAAGTTCTGGGTTAGCACCACATACACACACACAAAAGTTTGGAAACCACTACTATCAGGTGCAAAGCATAGTCTATAAACTCAGATATACATGTAGACAGGATTTTCTGCGATAATGATAACTTCACTATCATCTACATTTAAAGGAAGACTACTCTAGAACTGGAAAATAAGCCCACCCAGGAGTCTGGCATAATAAAGGTAGGAAATGAAATTTATGTGGATCCCAGGGGCTCACCCTGTCCCATACCTGTCTTGGGTAGTGTCACCTCTTCTACATTGGGAACTGGAGAGGGCTCATCCATGTCCTTTGTCAGGTCTTCTTGTTCCTCTTCTCTGTGGCCACGCTTTGACTTGGTATAAGGTGTTGAAGGACTGGTGAGAAAACAAAGTAAAAGAAAACCCTGTCAGAGCTGGGAAGGTGGCTCAGTGGTAGAGCGCTTGCCTTGCATGCATGAGGCACTCAATTTGATTCCTCAGCACCACATAAGCAGAAAAAGCCAGAAGTGGTGCTATGTCTCAAGTGGTAAAGAGCTATCCTTGAGCTGAAGAGCTGAGGGACAGCGCCCAGGCCCAGAGTTCAGGCCCCCTGACTGGCAGGAAAAAAAAAAATAACCCTGTCATCTTTGCACAGTTATCCTTGAGCCCTGGAAGTTGGGGTTCAAGGAAAGGGAAGTCAGAATCCCAAGTATAGAACAAAGCGTACAAAGAAACTAGTAACTACACAGTAATGGGAGGCAGCAAAGGCTTTTCATTTAGTGATTCGACATTCTTTTAGTGGCTGGGACTAGAGCTAAAAATGAGGAAGTTCATTCTTCTCAGGACACCTGGCACACTGGGATCAGGGCCTGCTGCTTATGGAAAGATTATCTGTCCTTCTTTGGGGTTGGAAGCATGGTTCAGTTGGTAGAGTGCTAGCTAATGAGTGAAAGTGTCAGGTTCTGAGTTTGAGTCCTGGTCTGACCAAAAAGAAAAAAAAATTATCTGTCTTTCCATTGACATGAAGTGGGGAGAACAGTAAATATGGGGCAGTTAGGGGTTTGCATACCCTTTCTTAGCATTCTTCTTCTTAGCTTCTGGGGTTGGGGAGGGAGAAGGGGAGCGCTTCCTCTTCTTATAATTCCCCCCCTTCTTGTCCCGTCGATCAGAATCTGGGCTGTTTACCTGTAAGATGAAGAATTGGGACAAATGTCAGCGTATACGCTGCAGTGAAGACTTGTCCTGAGTCTTTTGCTAAGGACTCTAGAAAGAAAAAACAGGATTTTTTACCTCATCTGTCAATGTCTTAGCTGAAATCTTCTTTCGGCGGGAGACAGGGTTTTTGTCATCATTTACTTCATAGTCTTCCTCATTCATCCATTCATTGAAGGTATCTGTGTCTAGAATCCATTTGGCATGAACCTAACGTACAAAAGCAGACCATAGTGGTGAGACTCTACAAGCTATGTCTTTTTGTTTTTGTTTTTTGTCAGTCCTGGGCCTTGAACTCAGGGCCTGGGCACTCTCCCTGCTTTTGCTCAAGGCTAGCATTCTACCACTTGAGCCACAGTGCTACTTCCCAGTTTTCTGTGTATGTGGTACTGAGGAATCGAATCCAGGGCTTCATGCATGTTAGGCATGCACTCTATCACTAAGCCACATCCCCAGCCTCTATGTCTTTTGTTTTGTTTTGTTTTTTTGCCAGTCCTGGGGCTTGAACTCAGGACTTAGTCACTATCCCTGAGTTTCTTTTTGCTCAAGGCTAGCACTCTACCACTTGAGCCACAGCACCATTTCTGGCTTTTTCTTTTTATGTGGTACTGAGGAATAGAACCCAGGGTTTCATGCATGTTAGGCAAGCACTCTACCACTGAGCCACCTTCAGCCCTCTATGTCATTTTAACAAAAAAAGCACAAGGCACAGAGTCTTTATATCACTTCCAGAGTACTTTGGTCCTGGCATTCTTCCTGGGGCAAGGAGTACAAGAAAATCTTACCTGGGCTGGGAAGGTGGCTCAGTGTTACAGTGCTTGCCTTGCATGCATGAGGCCCTGGGTTTGATTGCTCAATACCACATAAGCAAAAAATAAAAAAAGCTGGAAGTGGTGCTATGGCTCAAGTGGTAGAGTGCTAGCCTTGAGCTGAAGAGCTGACAGACAGTGCCCAGGCCCAGAGTTCAGGCCCCATGACTGACAAACAAAAAGAAAAAAGAAAAATAGAAAATCTCACCTTCCAGCCGGGCGCTGGTGGCTCATGCCTGTAATCCTAGCTACTCAGGAGGCTGAGATCTGAGGATCGCAGTTCAAAGCCAGCCCGGGCAGGAAAGACCGTGAGACTCCTATCTCCAATAAACCACCAGAAAACCAGAAGTGGCGCTGTAGCTCAAGTGGTAGAGCGCTTGCCTTGAGCTGAAGAGCTGAGGGACAGCGCCCAGGCCCAGAGTTCAAGCCCCATGACCGACAAAAATTAAAAAAAAAAAAAAAGAAAAGAAAATCTCACCTTCCTAGGCTTCTCAGGAGTAGGAGCATCTTCTACAGAAGCTTCAATTTCACTGGCGGGGATCCAAGTATCATAACTGTCAGAAAAAAATGGGTACCCAACAGAATCAATGGGCTGGAGTTAGGGAAATGTAAAGTGAAGATCTTTCCATTATTTGTTTTAGATATTTTTATATGTGTGTGCTGATCCTGCGGCCTGAACTTAGGGCCTAGGAGTTGTCCATGAGGTGTTTTGCTCAAGGCTAGTACTCTACCACTTGAACCACAGCTCCACTACCAGCTTTTAGACAGTTAATTGGAGATAAGAGTCTCATGGACTTTCCTGACCTGGCTAGCTTCAAACAATGATACTCAGATCATAGCCACCTGAGTAGGTAGGATTACAGGTATGAGACATTTGTGTCTGGTGCTCCCCATTCCCCCCCACTCTTTTGCCAGTCCTGGGACTTGAACTCAGGGCCTGGTCACTATCCTTGAGCTTCTTTTTGCTCATGGCTAGCATTCTACCACTTAAGCCACAGCACCACTTCCAGCTTTTTCTGTTTATATGGTACTGAGAATTGAACCCAGGGTTTAATGCATGCTAGGTAAACACGCAACCACTAAGCCACATTCTTTCCAGCCCCATGGCTCTCTTTCATTTATATTTTTTAGTAGTGCTAAGGATGAACCTAGAGCCTGTACATGTTAAGCACTCTACCAATGAATTATATCCAGTCCTACTTTTCCAATTCAGAAAAAGAAATATGCTAATGGGCTATTATGTTAAGATTATTTTAACTGTAAAACAATAAAACTCGCTGGGCGCCGGTGGCTCATGTCTGTAATCCTACTCAGGAGGCTGAGATCTAAGGATCACGGTTCAAAGCCAGCCTGGGCAGGAAAGTCCGTGAGACTCTTATCTCCAATAAACCACTAGAAAAAAGTGGCGCTGTGGCTCAAGCGATAGAGTGCTAGCCTTAAGCTGAAGAGCTGAGGGACAGCACTCAGGCCCAGAGTTCAGGCCCCACGACCGGACCCAAGAGAAAAAAAAAAATTATGTGCATAATTTCCCTGGTAATTTTTTTGGCCAGTCTTGGGGCTTGAACTCTGGGCCTGAGCCCTGTCCCTGAGCTTCTTTTACTTAGGGCTATCATTCTACCACTTGAGCTACAGTGCCACTTCTGGCTTTTTCTGTATATGTAGTAGTGAGGAATTGAATTCAGGGCTTCATGCATGCTAGGCAGACACTCTACCACTAAGACACATTACCAGCTCAAAAGAATTCTGATTTTGCTGGGCACCGGTGGCTCATGCCTATTATCTTAGCTGAGATCTGAGAATCACAGTTCAAAGCCAGCCTGGGCAGGAAAGGCCATGAAATTCTTATCTCCAACTTAATCACCAGAAAATAGGAAGTGGCTCAAGTGGTAGAGCACTTGCCTTGCATGCATGACGCCCTGGGTTCAATTCCTCAGCACCACATAAGCAAAAAGAAAAAAAGCTGGAAGTTGTGCTGTGGCTCAAGTGGTAGAGCGCTAGCCTTGAGCTGAAGATCTGAGGGACAGCGCCCAGGCCCAGAGTTCAAGCTCCAGGAATGACCAAAGAAAAAATTCTGTTTTTTTTTTTTTGGGGGGGGGTCAGTCCTGGAGCTTGAACTCAGGGCCTGGGTGTGGTCTCTGAGTGCTTTCACTCAGGGGTAGCACTCTACCACTTTGAGCCACAGCACCATTTGTGAGACTCTTATCTCCAATAAACTACTAAAGAAGCCCCAGAAATGGAGCTGTTGCTAAAGTGGTAGAATGCTAGCTTTGAACAAAAAAAACTCAGGGACGCACCCAAGACCATTCAAGCCCCAGGACTGGCACACACACAAAAAATTTTTTAATACTATTTTAACATTTACTTATCCAGAAGTTATACCTGAGGTTGGGAACATTATCAAATTTGAAGCCAGCTTGAACTACAGAGCTAGACCCTGTCTCAGAAATAAACTAGGCAGGGCTGGGAAGGTGGCTCAGTGGTAGAGCACTTGCCTTGCATGCTCGAGGCACTGGGTTCAATTCCTCAGCACCACATAAGAAAAAAGCCGGAAGTGGCACTGTGGCTCAAGTGGTAGAGTGCTAGCCTTGAGCTGAAGAGCTGAGGGATAGCGCCTGGCCCAGAGTTCAGGCCCCACGACCGGACCCCCCCCCCAAAAAAAAAAAAGAAAAAAAAAAAGAAATAAACTAGGCACTAGTGGCTCATGCCTGTAATCCAAGCAACCTAGATAGGCAGAGATCTGAGGATCAAAATTTGAAGCCAGCCAGGACAAGAAAGTTCATGAGAATTATCTCCAATTAACTAGAAGTAGAGATGTAGTTCAAGTGGTAAAACACCAGCCTTGAGTGAAAAGCCAAAAAAGAGCACTAGGCCCTGAGTTCAAGCCCCAATCCTGGCACTAAATAATAAAATATCTCTCTTGCACACACACTTACATATGCACGCACAACTGGGATGGCCATTTCACATTTAAAACCTCAATCCTTCAACCTAAACTTTGTCTAATAGAGTCTAAATCTCGAACAGGAGAGAGAATTCATGTAATAGGTGGAAGAACAAATTAAATGACCTAAAAGTAACTCCAACAGTGTCTTCTTGCTCTGCTAGATGTTTTAGGGCTTCTGACTGTAGCACTTGTATTTAAAACATGCCCTAGGAACCCAGCCTCACCTGTCAGGATAGTAGCCCCAGTGCAGAAGAACTTGTTTATCCCTCTTCATGACTGGTCGTACCCATTCTTCTGGGGATAGAGACAGAGAAGGAAGAGATAAGCTAAAGAGGAATAAAAATAAATAAATAACTCAACAAAAATCTTAACTAAGCACTCTCCCACTGCAGCAGGGGACTTGAGAATAGGAACTAAGATGGAAAGAGGATTCAGAGTTGAAAGGAGAAAGAAGCCCAGGCACAACATGGTGATTACTCTTCTGCCTCCTAGGCCAAGCCATTCACCGCAGTAGCAGGAAGATCCAGTTCTCACCTTCTTCTAGGTTCCCTGGGACAGGATGCACAACATGGGAGGCATTATTCTTATCCTCAGTGACTGTTCCCTGGATAGTGCAAGGAGAATCAGGTTAATATAATCCCCTTTAAATTACACTTGGGGATAAACTAAAGTAAAATATAACCACAGCTCTACCTTTTTAACCACATTCTGCTAGAATGGTTACATTTTCTCTCAGCACACACAGCTGAGATTGTGATAATAATGGAAATAAATCAAAGATTTAAACTTTCTGGGGTTGGAGACATGGCTCAGTTGCCATGGGCAAAAGTATCAGGTACTGAGTTTGAGTCCCAGTCTCAGACCAAAAAAGAATGGAGCATTCCTACAGATAATTCTCTGGATATGGTAAATTTAAAGCCAATTAAAAATATCTATGACATCTATTAGTTATTATAAAGTTTCAAACAGCAAAGAATTTTTTTTTTTTTT